TAGCTCTGTGAGCCAATACTATTGGTGGCTTAAACTATACAAATGGGTGAGCCCATATGTGCGTACGTGTGAAACGTGTCAACGGGTGAAACCCTCACCTCACGCGGCCGCGCCGCTGGCTAGTTTGCCTATACCCAAGGGGTGTTGGTAGTCCATCAGCATGTATTTCCTGTTCGGTTTACCGAAAGATGCGCATGGCAATACGGGTATTGTGGTCTTTGTTGACCGTTTGAGCAAGATGCTCATTTAGCGGCGGTGCCGGATACCATTGATGGTGAGGGTACAGCTACGCTGTTTATCGATCGCGCGTTTCGACAACACGGTTTGCCGTTTGCAATTGTCTCTGATATAGATCCTCGCTTCACTGGAAAGTTTTGGAAATCCATCTTCAAGGTGCTCGGCACACGTTTGGACATGTCCACAGCGGATCACCCGCAGACTGATGGTCAAACCGAGCGAGTGAAACGCATCATCGGTGACATCTTGCGCAGTGTTTGCGCTGAAACGCCTAAGCCTTGGAGCTTGATGCTCCCCGTCGTTGAGTTTAAGTTGAATAACGCCGTGCATGCCTCCACCGGCTACATACCGTTTTATGTGAATGGTCTCACACAATCTCGCGTTCCGTTAAAGCTACCACTGCGTGGTTCAGGGCTTAGTGAGAGAGGAGTTGCCGATCGCCTTGCTAATATCAGCCCTGCTACTGTTCAAAAAACAGGTAAGCGAGTTTCTCGAAGCGCGATTGAATGTCTTACGACATGTGCGTGACGCACTGGCTGATAGCCAAGACAAGCAGAAGGAACAAGCTGATGCAAAAGGCAGAGGTTGAATTGAACCTTATGAGGTCGGAGACCAGGTTCTACTCAATGCTAAAAATTTACGTACAAATGTAGTGTCCGCCGTCTTCAAGACAAAGTTGCGTCCGCGCTTTATTGGACCATTTACGGTCGTCGCCAAGAAGGGACTTGCGTATACGCTCAACCTTCCGCGCAAACTGCGCACACACCCCGTGTTCTACGTTGGCTTGCTTGAGCCGTGTCGGGATCCGTCTCACGTGAACTTGGAGGCGCTTGCGCCGAATAGGTTGGCCTTTCCATCGGCTGCTGAATCCGTATCAGGAAGTACAGCTGAGCCTCTATCCGGGATTGGCTTAACTCCTGCTCCTGGAGACGGGCTCGCATCTTGTCAAATGCACTCTGGGTCTTACTCTATGTCTCACGGAGACCACTCAGCTTGAGAAGTACCTTCTCATGCTCCTCCTTCGGTATACCGACAAGCTCCGACGCTGCTCGATAAGCAAGGGAACCGCCAGTTCCATGGGGAGCGACTCCTGAAACGACGTCGTCGTCAGGGTCAATACAAGTATCTGGTGAAGTGGCGAGGGTACCCAGAATCGGAGAACTCGTGGGAGTTTGAGACACCACTTCGGCAGGATTTCCCATACGCCGTTGATGTTTTGAACATCGTGACAGTAGTCATACCTCGACCGAGAGCGCTTTTCACCGATATTGGTGGAGGCAGGTGGGTTGTTGGGCACCGCTTGACGAACACCCACATCACCCGGCACAGCCGAAGCATAGCGTGTGCGAGTTCGCAACTGGCCTCTGGCCTTAAGCTTGGCGTAATTATACCGAAGCTATCGTTCTAGACAAAAATCTGCCACATTGGCACTTGCTCTGAGAGCTAGCATGCTGCTGAGGTGACGTTTCCGGTGCACCCAGCGCACAAAAGTGTTGTCCTCCTCCTCCTGAGATTCGCCTGCAAATAAGAGGATGTGTATACCCTTCATCGGTGGAACAGGTGCACCCCGTGCTTGTGTGTCAAGTCGCAACTTGTATTGACTTTGAGTCTTCAAGTGAGGTTTCAGGTACCTCTCGCGAAGTACCTGTCGACTCACCACCTCATCAGAAGATTTTGCTCAGCGCCGATAGCCCACTTTGCCAAAGAACGACCTGTCGTTTGACGTACACGCTCTTCCACACTGAGTGGGGTGAACAGATAGCCACGACGACCCTAAAGGGTTGCAGCAAGCTGCATACGGCGCTGAGCGCTCTCCTCTCGTTGGATAGCCAGCTGTTGTTGCTCGTTGAGCGGATTGGTGATGATGGCATCGCCCACGATAAGTGTTTGATGCGGCGCCGATGGCGTGTTGGCTTCGCCACGCTCGACAAATGGGTTTGGTGCAATATGAGGCGGTGCCTCTTGCACTGGTGAGTCGGACATTGTCCTCTCTTCACCATGGATTTCGGTATCGCTACCATAATCCACCTCCACATTGATGCCGAGGTAAGACGAGAGAGTCGAGGACTCATGGGGTGGCGATGCCATGGTGTTTTGTGTTTTTCCAACCGTGAAGGTTGAAGCGCACACACACCGCCCTCTTCGAAGAAAGAATTCGATTGACGTTTTGTGGTAACGTCACTCTGAAGGGGAGGGTGTACAGGGTTACACGTCGATTGGTAGTCGACAATAGGTGTGGTGCACACAAGGTATGGGATCCCTTTTAAAGTAATATTAGAACACAGTATCAATTGTTGAAGACTGATGTCTGTCAACCATTGATTACGAGAACTTTTAATAGGTTTAATTAGGACATTAGCGAGTAGGATAATTACTTTGTTCTAAGGTGTTCTTTTAGGTTAAAAGAAGAAATAAAATTCAGTTCCCCTTTTTAATCAACATAAGACACGTGCCTCTCTGATGCGTCTTGCGATCGATAAGGAGGTAGCAACGCCTTGTTGAGGCAGCTACTCCTTGTGCACTCAGTGCGTTTGATTCTTGGAATCATTTGGTCCCCCTGGAACAGGGAACGTAAGTTCTCTGAGCTTGTTGACTCTTTGAGTCGGGTTCTTTGAACCAAACCTTAGCTCTCGAAGCTGTTGACTCTTCGAGTCGGGTTCGTATAACCAAAGTTGCTCATTGAGCGTTAAGTCTTCCTCTGACTTAAGGATCTGTGTAGCTCCGCTACAGTGTCGAAGTAAAAGAGGTCGCATATAGGAATGGAGTTTGACTCGGTACAGCCAGTTGTGTGTTCGGGTGAATGTAGCACCAGGTCGGGTCATGAGAAAGACCTGGCGGACGCCAAGGTCGTCTTACACAAGTTAGCCTACCCCCCTTAAAGTAGTCTCATCGCACGTGAGAGATCATCAGAGCTCGTGGTCTAGCTGCAAATGCCCTAAACAATTGTAAACTTAGGAGAAATGAATGAATCAGGAACGCTTTGTGAAGCTACCGATTGTAGCCGTGTTGCTTATCCTTATCATTTTGGAACAATCTCTTTTTGGGCGCACAACGTTGTTTGTGCTAGTCGTACTTTCAAGACTGCTGTGTGGATTGTATATCTCTTTCGGATAGACAAACATAATGATGTGATAGCAGAGGTATAAACGACCGGGATCTGCATCGAACACATTGATTCTCTCTTCTAGCAACATACACGACCCTCTTCTTGTTGAGTCGTGCGACCGCGTGACATTTGTCCTGACTCGATCAAAATATGAGAGAACAAGCTCTGGGTTTACCACATCTTCACTCGAGGGCTAGAAATATGGTCGCGACAATTTCCATCAAGACCGCCAGCTGAACCTGCCAAAGTGCAAGATACGTCGAGAAAGCTCATTCTTGCCCTGATGCCGCTGGCAGTCCAATGAGAGCGGACACAACGGGTATATGTTTCCACGTCTCCTAACGCGCACTTCCAACCTATAAGGCCGACACACAACCGCTTCGTACGTGCTCAAACCGAAGTTCGTTGATAGTCCATGTCATGCTTTTCGGCCCTACGGACCACAACATTCGGTCAGGTGTTTCAGCGATAGAAAGAAGCCGGGCCGTGAGCTCGATGGATTGCCTCTGGAGGCTACAAAGGTCATGGTACTTGTATGAAGCATTTTTCTTCCAGCTTTTCCACCGCACTGTGTCCGAGGAAGATGGCAGTGCTCGCGGCACTATCGACGCACGAGTGGGATGAACAGCGGTACGAAGTCGGGGTAGCGAAAAAGACTTGTAGCATGAGTTCGGATCAGCAGTACGCTAGCAAACACCACGGCAACGTGTTCCAGCCAGGATCTCTTGCATAGTTTGATGCGTCGTTGCATCAGTACCACGATATACTTGGGGTACGCCAGATTCTGTAATACGTTGTGACACCTGACACTTTTCTCAATAATTATCCCATCAATTGCTACTGCATGTAGATGCACCCGCTGACTCAGAGTACATAAAGCAAAATATTGTCCGATCCCTGCGTAGACACGCTTCGCAGTCGAATCATCAAGCATCGAAGTAGGAGTAGATTTGAACTCGCCTGGGTTGGTGAATGTTAGAAGGGAGCACCGTTCTTGACGCAGTCGTTGTAGTTTACGCTTAAAAAAACGACATGCTATGACATGCGCGAACGATTTACAAAGCTTAAAACTTGTAACTAATTGTGACAGATGCCACAACATAACCAGCTTGACAAAGCGCTTGAACGCATTCACACACTTTACCATCGTATATGGCATAGTGGAGTTGTCTTGACGTGAAAAGCTGCTAGCTGCAGAATGGTCTGTGTGGAAACGTGCATGCCATTCCCGTTCAGGTCGACGCATCATCTGCCAGATTACGATAGTTGTTGTGGGTACAGAGTGAGTCATACTAACTTCTAAACGTTCGTGGCCGATAGGACTACGTTCGACAGATTAAAGGTCGTATCAGTTGATTAAGCTGCGGCCTGCCCTGAGCGTGAGCTGTGATTGGATTAAGTCAATGAAGACATCACCTACCATCTTGCCCATCAACGGTCTTATCAAACAAACAGCTGTAATGCGCACAAGCCATAACTTATGGGGAAATAATGAGCGAGATCAAAGAAGTCATCAAATAGCATTCGGGCAGCGCAATTAAAACTGAATCTTTGTTATCACTTGTGCCACGTGCAGTGGTAGCGCCCGATAGTGCAAGAAAGCTTACAAAACAGTTTGAAGCAAAGGCGTTGTATTCGTAGACACTTGTTGTATTGCCTATGGATGCCATTTGCCAACCTTAGAACGTCTTGAGTTCTCATAAAACGAAAACGTTTCGTAGTGACTGGCAATCGAGTCCACGTATGCAACATTGCTCTCTCCTACATTCGAAAACATCTTGCGAACGTCCGTCGTTGTTAAATTGAGACCACGCCATTTTGCAAATAGTTCTGTTTTGTATGCGTTGAAAGCATGAGTCGTGAGTGTCACCTCAGCCATCGCCTCCCAAAGCATTATAGCGATAGCGGCGTCCCCGCGAAGTTCTGGGAACGAGCCCGTGCCGTGCCGGTGATTCTTTGTGTTAAATAACTGTATGTAGATTTTCAGTGTTTCCAGTTTTTTTTCAGCCGAACGTGGTACAACTTGGTCGTCGCGACGCTGCAAAACCCCGAGAACGGCTTCAATGGATTTGTCTTCACTCAGCCAGCTCTTCAACAACTCCTTTTGCCACTGCTCAGCAATATCCGCAGTCGGACCACCGCGATGTTCTTGCCTTGCATCGATGAGCGCATTCACCACTGCCTTATCCTTGTAGCGATCTCTGGAGTGAGCGAGCAACGAGAACTCCGCACCCGTATTCTTTGTGTTGAATTCAGCGACGTACTTCACGACTGTGTCTAGCTTGGAGCTGAACAGGTCGTCCACACTTTTGTCCATCCCAAGCAGCTCCAACAGTTTCAGAGGCTTCACTCCTCGGCCGTGCCACTCGTCCATCAGCAGCCTCTCCAGCTTCTTAGCACCACTCGTTTCATCACTCCTCGTCTTGATCTGTCCAATGAATGACGCCAATTTGTCCTCACTACCAAAGAGTGACACGAGGGTTTTGAGGAGAGTGTTGTCGTCTGACGTTCCGGGCTTGCACAATCCGATGTACTCTTCGCACGCTTCAATCCTTAGCGTAAAAGCTTTCTCCTGACCAACGATGAGCTCCTCCACAACCTCATCAATCGCTTTTCCATGGTTGTACCAGTCCTTGAGCGACTCACTCTGCCACCGCTTAGCAATGGCCTTCGTCGACGCACTTGTAGACTCTTGTCTTGCATCGATGAGCGCATTCACCACTGCCTTATCCTTGTAGCGATCTCTGGAGTGAGCGAGCAACGAGAACTCCGCACCCGTATTCTTTGTGTTGAATTCAGCGACGTACTTCACGACTGTGTCTAGCTTGGAGCTGAACAGGTCGTCCACACTTTTGTCCATCCCAAGCAGCTCCAACAGTTTCAGAGGCTTCACTCCTCGGCCGTGCCACTCGTCCATCAGCAGCCTCTCCAGCTTCTTAGCACCACTCGTTTCATCACTCCTCGTCCTCATCTGTCCAATGAATGACGCCAATTTGTCCTCACTACCAAAGAGTGACACGAGGGTTTTGAGGAGAGTGTTGCCGTCTGACGTTCCGGGCTTGCACAATCCGATGTACTCTTCGCACGCTTCAATCCTTAGCGTAAAAGCTTTCTCCTGACCAACGATGAGCTCCTCCACAACCTCATCAATCGCTTTTCCATGGTTGTACCAGTCCTTGAGCGACTCACTCTGCCACCGCTTAGCAATGGCCTTCGTCGACGCACTTGTAGACTCTTGTCTTGCAGTGATGAGCGCATTCACCACTGCCTTATCCTTGTAGCGATCTCTGGAGTGAGCGAGCAACGAGAACTCCGCACCCGTGTTCTTTGTGTTGAATTCAGCGACGTACTTCACGACTGTGTCTAGCTTGGAGCTGAACAGGTCGTCCACACTTTTGTCCATCCCAAGCTGCTCCAACAGTTTCAGAGGCTTCACTCCTCGGCCGTGCCACTCGTCCATCAGCAGCCTCTCCAGCTTCTCAGCTGCGCTATTTGCGTCTCTATTTGTCTTAGCTATTCCTATGAGCGACGCCAATTTGTCCTCGCCCTTGAGACCTTTCACCAAGGTACCGAGAAGGAATTCATCGTTATTTAATACCCTGTGGTTGCGAAACGCGATGAAGCCTTCCAACATCTTCAATTTCTGAGCAAGCATGCCATCGGGGCCAATCTTCAGTACGGGCACAACTTGAAACGGAGACTTTCCTTCATTCCACCACTTCAAGAACTGCTCCTCACGAAGTTTGCGGGCAAGGTCTTTCGCAAAGTCGCTGTAATGACCATCTTTGATAGTCGCGTACGCCTCTACCATTCCATCAAGTTTGTGTTGCTCCATTAAGCGTTCACGCAGCCGTACTTTCTCTGAATGCACCACCACGTAATGGACCCCGTTTTTTACTTTCACTGCGTTCTTATCCATATTTTTTAGGGAAGTCAAGGCATCTTTTCCAAACTGCATTTGTTTGTGAGAACCAGGAACGATCGTTTTGAGTACTGCCCAAGTTTTGGTCCACAGCGACTTTGCTGTCTTTGTCGAGGCCTTCTCAAGCTGGTAGGCTGCCATCTCGAGTCCAGGAACTGCTACTCTCTCTTCGGTGTTGTTGAAAGCTGTCTCAGCACTTCTCAGCAACCGCTCATGTTCACGAATGTCAATCGGGTCGCCTGCCAACGGGCTGCCTTGAGGAGGTGAGTCGGCTGCAGCTTGCTTCAAGGTGGCAGCAGTCAAGGCATCGTAGGCACCTGTCAACGGGAGTGTAGCCCAGAGTGCGATGGCGAACGGATGCATGCTGTAAAACAGAATCGCAGATTGGTCGTTACCACGGAAATGGTTGGCACGCGAATCGTAAAGTGGCCAAGGACGATCGTGGACTGGGAGAGAGAGGGGGGCGAAAATAGTGTGTTGCCCCCCTACGCTTGATTCGCGCTTGAACAAGCGCGATTTGTTGACCGTAAACGCTAGATCCGCGCTTGACGATGCGAGATTTGCTGCGCGTAAACGCTCGAAAGCGCTTGGGGATGCGACAAAATTGTTCACGAAGGCTGCTACCTGTTTTGATCCATGAGACAATCGAAGTGTGTAAGCGTTAGAGCATCTGGATGTAGCGCACAAGTTGGCCAACATGAATTCGCTTGCGTTGCGGCTGCACCGACACGAGCAAATGGCGTACGCATTCCACATTTTACACCGATTTGCAGTCAGGAGAGTGAGGTGCAAGTTTGGCCTTCTTGGTGGCTACTGATGAACCTGACGGCATTGTGCTGCGACGCTATAATCTTCCGATGAGGCGTGAAACGGTCGAGCCCCAAGCCTTTCTATCACTTATCGATGCTACCGGCGCTAACTTCGATACTCGTCAGCTCTTGGGGTCGTCGGTTCTAACCAGAATCCGGCAACTAGACTCGTAGACCCCATTGCGATCGTTCTCAGCGGCCGCATCCGGATAAAGCAAACCTGCTTTGCAAACGAAAGCGACGCGCGTGGTCCAGCTTCTCGTGCGACGACATTCGCTCCCATCTTCTAGGATCCGGTCTGCTGTTCCTCTTGGGCAGGTGTACGGCCTACGAACGACCACCGCACCCGCCTTCTCAACAGCTGTGTTTGTCCAGAAAAAAGCGTGACAAGTCACGCTTTGCTCTGTGCGAGATGACCGCTTCTTTGTCACGACTTGAAGTCCGCATGTTCAGTTTTTACTCGAAGTGTCGTATCGCAGAAGAGGGGACCTGACAGCGAGAGAGAGAGAGAAACAGGGCATACGTGCAACATGCATGCTCGACTTCGATTTATGAACCGTAGCTTCGCTGAAGACAAGCGGGTCCTGGTGACAATACAAAGGGCGTGACGTCCAGCCGTTTGCTCGCACGTTCTAGAAAAGCGCGAGCACATCACCGTATGACCCGATTCGGATCATCCTCGGCACGAATTAGTTCGTCAGCTATGAATCAGCCGATTCGAGTGAGGTTGACCATTGCGTTAGCGTGTTACAGACCTGGCCACAGTACGAGCAATAGAGGTAAAAGTTATTGATTAGCTTCGAACATCAATGGTCCGACAGTGCATTGCCCGGGAGTTGACTAATGATTGCAAGAGCACAGACGACGCGATCACTTCTGGTTAGAGCGATTGTACCGCCTTAGGTCGGAGTACATTCCTTCAGTACGTGAGTGTGCGTCACAGCAGAGCAATGCAGTCTCGCAATTTCAACACCTGTATCTCTGAACCGCTTGTCGTGCGGGTGCGACGCGTGTGATTGTCGCGCTGCTCATAGACTCGAACAATTGGCAGTGTTTGCGACAATGTCATCGCAGCCGTGAACGTACAATCAATCTGCTGCTTGCAGATCGTGCCAGCACCCGACCTTGCTGCGAGAAAGAATTCACCCGACCGCGAGTGTCGCAAACGTCACATCCGTTCCAGCCTTCTTTGTCCCATCCCGAGTAGTTTTCCTATGTGTATGCAACTACAACCGCACCAACGTGGACTATCCCACCTGCGACAAAAGTAGATATACTGGAGACAAACGACGCTCTTCTTCTTTTGCAACTGTAGTAGTACAGCAATCGACCACGCAGAAATCGACCGCGAAAGGATGCGAATCCTCTTTGACGTGAAAAAAAACCGCGACGGACGTCTTGCACTTGACACGTGGCTTTGCAACTTGCGATCCCCAACACAACAGATCGACGACGGCAGCAACTACAACATCAAGACAATGATCCCACATTTGAGACCGCAACTACTCCATTATGTCCTCTTGTGCCGCTTTCACGCTATCACAGTAGCGTCAACGATGAACTGAAGACTGTGCTTTTGGGATCGAGTGCCCAGGGGACAAGAGTGCCACACCCTTCCCGAGCTCGGAGGTACAGTCGTCCCTCCATATAGCGGACCAAAATATGTGGCGTTTTTGCCTCGTTCCTTATATAAGACGGTCTTATATGGAGGGTCAATTTGAACCCATTTTCAGAAATGCATCCATGGTACACTGAGTCTTTCGCATCGAGCACTGCTGTATAACGTGGTCGGTGATACTTGCCAGCTTCTTCGTCAATTCGTCGCTATCATGCTGTAGCGAAAGAAATGATGGCAGACGGAGACAACAGTCTAGAGCTTCGGATGGCTTAATCGTCACCTCATCGGCGCTGTCACCATCATTGTCCTTCTCAATCGCCTCATGCTCTGTTAGTCCGAGTCACACACGATCGGCTTGCCGTCATCCGCTCCGAAGTGATCGACGACACTCACGCTGCAAGTCAAACCTTCCATGAGCTTGGCCAGCTCGTCATCCTCATATTCATCGATGCATTTATTGTAGTCGCGTAGTTGGATGAGTGAGATCGGCCGTCGTTAACGTCCCCACGATAGCACACTTTCCTCGGGTACCTCCTCCCAGCTTGATGTTGCGAAGCGCACAGCCTCCAAGATATTCAAAGATCGGTCGATTTTGGAGTGGATTGCATCCAGGAGCCATCGAACAAAATTCTTTCAATACCGCGCTTTAATTTCCGTATAATTCCTATCAGGAAAAAGCACGTGAGATATTGCTGGTCAAAAGAACATCCATTCAAACTTACCTGCGTCGATCGGTTTCAAGTGCGCTGTCATAGTTGGTGGCAAGAATGCCAGGTTGACATTGTAGCATTCAGCGACGCCATAGTGACACGACGCGTTGTCCAGCAGGAGAAACACTCGCCACCCGTGCATCTTGGCATCGAAACGCCGAAGCCAATCAGCAAACGTTGACCCGTTTTGCCACGCAGTCTGGTTGTTGAAGAACAAAACTTCATTTGCTTGGTTTTGACAATGCGAAATGCTCGTGGTTGTTTCGACTTGCCTATGACAACGAGATCCATCTTCTCGGTCCCGGTCATGTTGCAGCACATTGCGACTGTGATACGATCCTTCTCTGACATCTTACGTTGCGCTTGACCGTCGCCAGTGTCATGTTTGGATGTAGGCTATATAAGAGAGCTGATTCGTCAAAATTGACTACATTTCGTGGTGAATATCGTCCAATCAGCTCTTTAAACTATATTCGATTCACTGCGAGTTGAGCGCGATCAACTGAGCCTGCTTCGCCGTAAATCACATGCTGCTGGATGCCGTATCGAGTCTTAAATTTGTGCAGCCACCCATTCGAAAGCCGCATGTCGTCCTCGCTTGTCCCTTGAGCGGATCAAATTGAGCGACCTTCTTCTACTAGTAGATCATCTGTGAGAATTGCCTTTCCGTCATTGAGACGATAGAGTGCGAAGAACGCAGACTAAAACGCTGTAATCAGCACCTTTTGATTACGCTTCATGCCCGTGGTTAGGAATGCGTTGGCCGGTACCTGACGAATCCGTTCTGCTGCCGTTGTGGAGATCCGAGGGTCGAGCTTCTCCCTGACCCAGTCTTTTATTTGGAATAGTTTTATTCCTAGTGTGCGTGGGATGTGCACCTGCACCTGACGCCTTTGCTCCATCGCCAGAATCGTTCGCTTTAACGACATGTTTAGGTGGAACGGAAGAAAATGTGCAAAGTGGCAGGCAATGCGAGACTGTGGCAAGTCCAATATAGAAGTAAACTGGTGGTTGGTGCGCGTTGTTTTAGTACCCTATTTCTTAAGTATTTTATATAGAATCAACACAAAAAAAACAAGTTCTGCAGCTTGGTGCGGGACACGAAGTTCCTTAAACAGAAATTTAACCGTCTATAGAGGTTCTTATATGTAGAGACTACTGTAGTGCTTAAACATCCTTCCACTCGCGTCGCGCAAACGCACGCATAATCTGATGTGACAAGTGGCCCGCCGTCTCCCGCAAATAAAACTGACACTGCGGACCACAAGCTGTGCTCGACCGATGAGAACTTCGTCCATATGCGCGTGTCACCAAATATAAAGAGGGATATGGACTAATGTGATACGGATGTTTGAGGTTGCTGCGTGACGGGATGGCCTGTAGATGCTAAACGATGTCAAAATTGAACAAGAAGCAATATTGCTGCAAAAAATTGGCCTTCGGTCCTACAGACCGATGCCTAGGTGTGAAAAGGTGCGTGTTCCCTTGTTGCCTACCATTTCATTCCCCTATGCTTTTTCTCCCTCTTTCATCTCGACTTGTCATAGTCAAGTCTATGGGATACCTTCGAACAAGGCGGATCAAAATTAAGCAGCGTGGTGAAAAGGGCAAATCCAACCAATGAGGTGAAACCCCGATCAATACTGGCCCTCCTGTCTTCGTGTTAAAGTATACAAATGGACGTGAGCTCAACGTTCTCTGCCTTTATACAGATGTTAGACGCCACGGCACGTCCTGATCTCGCTGGATGCCTCGTGTTGTTGTTTGCATGAGCAAAGCGCTGGTAAATGAAGGAACGACGTGCACTCCACGACATATCACGAGAACGAATCATGGGTACCCATGAGTCATTTGGGTGTGCTGCCACAACTTTTGATATGTTCCATTAAACACCTCTATGTGAGGAGATATCGTTTCTGTCGTGTCGCCGAGACTTCAAGTTTCGTAGAAAGACCACTTATAAGTAACTTCCGGCGTCATCTGGTTGACTGTCTTGAAATATCGTGACATATAATTCAAAAAGATACGGTCGCCACGTCGAACCATCATGTGTTGCGACAACTCGACAGGCAGGACGAAGGGTCATGGTTGCTACGTGGGGCCGTCATGTGTTGTGAGAAGAGCAAATCTCATTACAAGTATCACAAATGTACAAAAGTCTCAAAGCCAGTACTATGCTCGACTTAGGTATAAAATGCACTAAATAGTGTTAACCTTATTATACTT